AAATGAAAATGAATGAGAATTAAGATATGATAGAAAATAATTTGGAAATATTTATCAGTAACCTCAAAAAACATAACCTTTGATCTGTTTATCCCAATTTTAAATATTAATTTTAAGGACATAATCAGGATTGAGTATAAAAGCTTTTCTGTAAGGATGTTCATTGTAGCATTCCGTCAGCATTACATATAATTGGATAGAATTATAACAAAATCTGTGTTTATTTTTAGTCTTAAAAGTAATTCCATCTTTGGCATAGTATGATTATGTGATTTTTAAAAACCAACTTTCACAAATACTCTACAATGAGCATGTTATTTTAATAAGAATTTTTTAAAAGTTTTAAAAATAGAATCTAAAGGAAGAGCTTGAATTTAGCTTAGAAAAGGTTAGATTCTTCATGACTTAACTGTTCATTCCAAATATAAACAAAGGTTTCTTTGTTTAACACTTGTTATAAGGAAGTGTTTTTATATTACAGTCAGAGATTTAACTTAGATTTTTAAAAGCCTTGATAGTAAAGATTATTGAATGTAGTAGGATTGTTTAAAGGCTTTGAACTTGGTTTTACAGTATCAATTCTTCTGACTCTAATTACCCAGAGTTAGGCCAAACTTTAAAGATTGAGGGCATAGTTCTCCACAACACTGCCATCACTTCAAACACTAACGTCACATTTGGAGGTTTCTAGGCCACCTGCATTTCTAGCCAGTTGGCTAAAACTTTGGGAGTCTCTGATAGCCAGCCCCTCAAGACAGCAGCTGCCAGCTCAGGGGTTACAAGGATGTCTATGCTTATTACCAACTGGCTATAAATTCAGCAGTTCCTGCTACCACCTCAGGTTCATTAATTTACTAGAATGACCCATGGAAATCAGGAAAGCATTGTACTTAATGACTATAATTTTATTATATAGCAAAAAAGGATACAAATTAAGGCCAGCCAAAAGAAGAGATGCATAAGGGAAGGTCTGGAAGGGTCTTAAACTTAAACCTTCTGTGTTCACTCCCTGTGGAGTCAGGTCACATCACCCTCATGGCAAGTTTGATGGGTAGTCAATCAGGGGGAAGCTCATAGGGGCTTTGGTGTTCAGGTTTTATTGGGTTTTTATCAGGTGGATACGATCAGTTGAATCATCAGCCATGTGATTGAACTCAGTCTCCAGTCCTCCTCTTCTCCCCTGATAACATGTAGTGGGTCTTTCTCAAATGGCCAGCCCACAGCATGAGTCAGCTAAGCATAAACCATCAGCTGTGGTTATGAGGCCTCCAGGAGTAACAAGACATTCCAGTCACTCAGGAAATTCCAAGGAATTGTTGGGTATTTATGAGTTTAGGAACGGAATGGGTACTCTTTCCCTTTTCTCATTTGTGGTGGGAAAGATGGTAAATTTTGAACAAAGTAATTTTTGTATACCCTTGTTTATTTTTAATGGCTTCAGTAATTTGATTCTTTATCGGTTATATTTGTTTTAATCATGACATTCATAACCACTAGAGCATAGTAACCAAGAATAAGGGCTCTGAAGTCAGGCAAATGTGGTTCAAATCTTGGTTCTGTTGCATATTAGATTTGTGACCTTGGGCAATTACTTAACATCTAGAAGTCTTAGCTTTCTTCATCTGTAAAACAAGCAGTAGTATTAGCTCTCTCAAAGGATTGTGTTAACAGTTGTTATTGTTAACATACAATTACAGTGAAAGTGAAATTTGCTCTAATGTATATAATATAATCATTATCAAGTCAGAAAGTGAAACAGAGACTAAAATCAAAGGATTCTCTGTTCTGTATGGAAAATGAATTTGCTCTGTAAATTTTCACCCAAATCACAATAAAAAATTTTTTAAAAAAAGTATTCTGTGTTGAAGTGCTAGAGACATCTGCTTTACCATTCTAGATTTCAAAATAAGTGTGGTATGAGCAGCCAACCGTGGATTTGAACTGAGATGCAAGTCTTATTATCATAGATAA